AAAAAAAAAAAAAAAAAAAAAGCCTTGGGCTTCGGCTGCTGCTTAGTGGGTAGAGCGCCTCACTTGCCTTGATGGGTTAGGACAGGCAAAGGCAAACTTTTTCTGGAAAGGACCAGATAGTAAATATTTTCAGCTTTCCAGGCCACTGGGTCACTATTGGAACTGCCAGAGAGACAATAGCCCCCACAGACAGTAGACAAACAAATGGGCTGGGCTGTGATCCAGTAAAACCGTTTTTGCAAGAAGAGGTGGGGGGCTGGATACGGGCTGTAGGTGGTCCACCCCTGGGGAGAGCAGTGCTCCTCAAGCTTTCTCCTGCATCCAAATCATTTATTGGCTTGTCTAACACTGATTTTGGGGCCCCGCCCCCAGGGTATCTGATTCATTTGATATCTGGGGACGCTGGGAATTTGAAATTCTAATAAGTTTGCAGGTGACAGTGACGCTGCTGGTGCAGGAACCACACCTTGGGAACTGCTGGGTCAGAGGGGAAATGATCCCCGGGCCCGACCTTGTTTCTCTGTCGTCCCACAGGGACTTTCATCACCGAATGGAAAGAAGGGGAGCGGCTCTGTGAGGCCTTCCTGGCTGGGGACGAGCGCTCATACCAGGCGGTGGCCCGTCAGCTGGTCCTGATTGCCCAGTTTTTCCGATTCGATGGCTGGCTGATCAACATCGAGAACTCTCTGAGTGTGAGCACGCCTGCCCCTGGCGCCTGGCCCGCCGGCCCCTGTGCCCCGCGGGGACCCTCCATCGCACTCCTCGGCCTCACCAGGCCGGTCCCTGCTACGGCAGCACTTTCTCCGTCTCATTTAGAGCCGGCTCCTTCGCCTCTGCCACTTCACATGGAGATGGATGTTCTCCAGCGCGGTGTCCAGAAACCTTGCCCGCTGAGCTTTGCTTTTCTGGCTCCTTCAAGGCGGCCCTTTATTCCTCCTCGGTCTCTGCTTTGCTTGGGCCACATGTGTGGCTTCCTCTTCACGCTGCCCTCCCCTTTCATCGCGTTTTATCTTTTCCTGATTGCTGAGTCCATGTCCTTCCTGCTTCAGAAAGAACGGAAAGTCGGACCTCTGGCTGGACCCTCTGCCCGGCAGCCGTGGGGCTGAGGGGCTTCTGGGACGAGGACCCGTTTGCTCCTGGGGTTAAGTGTCCTCCTGTCTGTGCTGTGCCAGGCGCTTCTCATGACAGACCTCTCTGGGCCTCACGGAAGGTCTGTCTCCTTCCCTGTCTCCAGCTGGCCGCCGTGGGGAACGTGCCCCACTTCCTCCGGTACCTGACCACTCAGCTGCATCGACAGGTCCCCAGGGGCCTGGTGCTCTGGTATGATAGCGTGGTGAGCAGCGGGCAACTCACATGGCAGGATGAGCTCAACGAGCACAACAGGTGAGCCTGCAGGAGGGCGGCCTGGGCCCCTGGACAGGGGCAGGAGCTCCCTCTGCCTTCCAGAGGTGTTGCCGGCATGGCTGCCTTGGGGAAAGTGAGGGACGGGCAGAGTTGTCTGACACCCCGAGCACCACCAGAGAGAAGGAGAGCCTGGTCAGCCCGGCCGTGCCCAGCTTTACGGGTCACGGTCTGCGGGCTGAGCGGATGCAGGTGCTTGAGGGGAGGGCGCCCGGGCTTTACAGCCCACGCTGCCGCCCCCCCCAGGGTTTTCTTCGATTCCTGCAATGGCTTCTTCACCAACTATAACTGGCGGGAGGAGCACCTGGAGCGGATGCTGGGGCAGGCTGGGGAGCGCCTGGCCGACGTGTACGTGGGAGTGGATGTGTTCGCCCGGGGCAACGTCGTCGGGGGCCGGTTCCACACGGACAAGGTGGGTGGTGGCCTTTGAGGCCGGGGAGGTGGTGGCAGTGGCCCGGGTGCCTGCTGTCCTTGTGGACCTTTCACTGCCATCTGCACCTCAAGGGA